ATATATATATATATATATATATATACATATATACATATATATGTATATGATATAGATGTGTGTGTGTGTGTATATATATATATATCATATATATCCACCAAAGTGAGAACTGACTGGTAGTTCCAGAGGAAAGGTGCAATGTGGTAACACAGCTAAAAGTTAGCATTCTTTGAGATTCCCAGAAACATCTGGGGAACAGCATTGCAGACACCGAGGAAGCACTGCAGACCATCATGAGGCTTAGCAGTTCAAGGGCATGATTAGGGGCAGGGCTCCAGTGATAGAGGGCCTGCCCAGCAAGTGCAAGGCCATAAGCTCAAACCCAAATACCACCAGAGAGAGAGAGAGAGAGAAAGAGAAGGAAAGAAAAAATGCAGAGGCAAAGGGCCAGGAAATGATGCTATACACACACACACACACACTCTCTCTCTCTCTCTCTAACCCCTTGTGCTGCCCTTTTCTAAAAGCCTGGAATGAATATGCTCCTGTGGGCCAAGCATTTAGCACATGCCTGTAATCCCAGCACTGGGGTGACTGAAGCAGCAGGATCAGGTCAACTTGGGCTACATACAGGACCCTGTCTCAAAAAAGAAATGAAAGAAGAAAATGAAAGAAGAAAGGGGGTGGGGAGAGGAGAGAAGGAAGGAATGAGGGATTGAGAGACACATCAGGGAGAGAGGGAGAAAGGGGAGAAATATTCCTGTTAAATGGTCTGCAAGTGCAAAGACTAAACCTATAAGAAAGTAAGGTAAACCCAAAGCTCGTGGCTTATGCTTGTAATTGTAGCTATTCAGGAGGCTCAGATTTGAGATTTGGCTATTCAGGCAGAAAAGTCTGTGAGATTCTTATCTCCAATTAACCACCAAAGAGCCAGAAGTGGATCTGTGGCTCAAGTGACAGAGCACTAACCTTGAGAGAAAAAAAAAAGCTCAGGACAGCACCCAAGCCCTGAGTTCAAGTCCCAGTATTGGCACACACATAGGCACACAAAAGTGCCCAAGACATTGTGAGAAGTCACATGAGAACTCAGTTCCCTGAGGCTAAAAACGGGATGAGACAGCACAGGCTCCTACCTGCAATTTCTGTAGTGAGCAGCACCTCCCCAGAACTTAGGCCAACAGGTAAAGAAAAACTAAAACAGTAACAGCCCAAAGCAAGTCTTGTACTGTCACTCAACCTACTGTGTGGACCAAAAAAAAAAAACCCTGCTTCTTCTGACTTCTGACATCAAGCAAGTATGCAAATTACCCCCCCCCAAAAAAAGGCATAAAACATTGCTGGGCCAGGCCAGAACTTTAGCTCCAGAGATAAGCATTTCACTAACTCTACCAGTTCCAGTTCCAATGTTCCCACAAGAAGTTGCCCCTAGGAGACTTTGTTTTAAATTTCCCACACTCCTACCCAGCAACATAGTCTACAATTACAATGTCCCAAGATAAAATCCCAAGAGATAGCAAGCAGCCCCTCCTCTTTCCCAGAACTCACAACATGTCTTCTCGGATCGAAGATTTGGGGGTTTCAGTTTACTGCTGTTGTTGCTTGGTTGTGAGGACATGGTGGCTTTTCAGTAGGTACCTAGCAGGGAGAAAAGGAATTCAAAGGAGGAGGGAAGATGTCCCTCAAAATACTCAGGACAGAGGATCAGTGTCAGGTCCAGCCCTTTTCGTCCCAGTTCCTAGATACCTGTTCTTGAATAAGTCATGAGCCTCCTGGGTCTTCAGTTTCTTCACCTATAAAGAAAATTGCGGTTAAATTTTGTATTTATTTTCTGATGTAGGAGTTTATATTCACATACCTTTACCTCCCGCACTTCTCCCAATAATCACTTAATAAGTTTTGCTATCATTATTATCTCTTCCCATTTTATGGATATTTAAAAAATGATATTAAACGAGTTAAGTGGTTTGGTCCAAATCTCTTGCTGAGCTCAGATTCTAGTTCTGAGAATCATGGGGAAAGTCAGGTGCCGGTGGCAGCAGGGGGCGGCTTATGTCTGTGATCTCCAACTACTCAGGAAGCTGAGATCCGAAGGATCGGAAGTTCAAAGCCAGCCCCAGCAAAAAAGTCCAAGAGACTATCTCCAAAATAATCAGCAAAGAATAGGGCGAGCTGCAAACGGGCGCGGGGGAGGGGGTGGTTAAGAAGTGGCGGGGGGGGGAATGGAAATATATCGAATACTTCTTCAAGGTTATCTGCAAAATAAGGCGAAAGACCTGATGTCAAGTGGGGTTCGAGAGCCCCCGGGCTCACAGCCCAAACCCAGAGAGCAAAGGGCTCGCGAAGGCGCCAGGTCCCACTGCCCTCAAGACTGGCGCTGGTCCCGCACTGGCGCGCAGACCCTTCCTCCCCAGCACCAGCTGCCGGTCCCCGAGGTCCGCTACGCGGCAGCGCCCAGCGGCCGTGCCCCGCGCTCCAGGCTGTCAACGCCGGGCCCCGGGGCCCCTCCATCCTCCCGCACCCGCCGCACTTCCAGACGCCACGCAGCAGCGGTTCGCCCACCTCCGTTCTCCCCCCTCAGATCCCTCCGGGTAGTCGTCCCGGCCCTTCCCCTCCGATGCTGCAGACCCGAACTGACAGAGGGAGGCGGAGCTGGGCACTCCCGGGTCCTCGGCAAATCACGTGGTTCCCGCAGGCGCCGCCCACTCGTGCGTCAGCCCTCACCTGGAGACAATCCTCGACCAATGGGGCACCTGCGCTGCGCAGGGGGCGGGGCCAGGCGGAACCGCGGACCCTGCCCGCGGCGGGAAGGGGGAACCTGGTCAAGGAGAGACCGCCCTCTTCCTAGTTCCTAGCGACATAGAGGTTGGCTGCGTCGTTGCTTAGTAACTACTAGAGCTAGGGGGCGGGGCTAATAAAAGCCTCACTTTTTTTGTTCTTCTAATTCTCGCGAGAACCAGAATAATAATAGCTATCTTGCGGGAGCCACGCGTGGTGGGAACCTTGCAAAGATTAACACTTTCCTTCCTGAAGCCCAGCTAGACCTAGACCTCGTTACTTCCGTACACGGGAACGTCAGCTTCCAAAGCCACCACTTGATTACACCTTAGGGTGTTTGAATATCCTCTAACCAAGTTCACTAAGCATCTCTATACTCTCAGGAGACCTTATCGATTTCCTTTTCCTCCTCCTCCTCCCCATCAAGCTATAGCATAGACGTTTTGAAGACACAAAAGCCGTTAAGGGTGAGGATGGCTGCAGAGATCTCATATAATTGATCCATGGGTAGAGGCTTTGGGTAGGTACCATACATTCCAAGTGAACTACACTTTTCCCTAGTTGCTCCAGTGTCCCCCTTTGATGCTTTGATTCTATTAATACACCCATCCAATGCAAGGTGGGATTTGTTGCTCTGGATCCAGGATGGACAGCAAACAGAGCATACATTTCTTGGAATATAGGAAACTTCAGAGGTGCCTGCATTCCTTGTGAACGACAGAGTTCAAAACACTCTATCATCTCCACTCCGCGTGTTCTAGGTGCCCTGAAAACCCAGTCTTTATCCATTTAGTACTTATGAAACTTATTTGCGTGGCAGAGTCTCAAGTTCAGGACATACAGGTTTAAAATGACCATCTAACCCGGCATTATCCCGCGGCTGTGCAATTCCGGGCCTATGTGTCTTTACACCCCACCTCTTTTGACTATGAGGAAGGTAGGAATGGAGTTTTGAAACCGGTAAAGGGAGGCACTGAACTGCAATCCCAATGGCACACTCTGGTCCTCTACATCCCTCCTGTAGGTGGCCACCACCTGCTGGAGGCCACGATCCCAGGAGCCAGATGCTGACTTCACACTGTGCTTTCTGATGTGGCAAATGGGCAGATCACGGTCCCATGGAGCTGGCCTTCCGGCCCGCCAACCCTCTGAGTCAGTGTTTGGTGTGACCACGAGTGTAGCCATGAGTCTCTGTTTTTGACAGGTCTGTTTGATTCACTAGCTATTCTTGGCATTTGTTTGCGTTCCCAGGGATGATGGCTTTTCTCGGGGTGGAGGTGGGAAGGCCGGATGGAATCACACCGCTGACCCGAGGCCAAGGTCACATTCCGTCCTCCTTGATTCCGGAGCTCCTTCCCCGCCCTCTGTCCTTGGGCATATATGCTGCCGACGCGCAGGACACCGCACTCGGAGTGTGGGAAGCAAGAACGGCAACGCTGTCTTCACAAGAGCCCAAAGCCCTGGTCCCGGGGCTCTGGAGGGTGGCGGGGGAAACCCAGCTGTCACTTTAAGATAGACCCGGCTCCCGGCCGTGCTGCAGCGTCGCGGGAGTTGCATCAGCGACAACTTCTCGCGATGTTTGGCGCGGCCAAGGGTGGCCATTTTGAAGCCCACCCCGCGGCTGGTTGCCCTGGCTGCGTCTCCCACCACCCTGCGGCCGGGGCCAAAGCTGGCTCCGCCGGTGTCTGGCCTGGGGGCGGCCGGACCGACGCGATGTGGCGGCTCCGCTGCAAGGCCAAGGACGGCACCCATGTCTTGCAGGGGCTGTCCAGCCGGACCCGGCTGCGGGAACTCCAGGGCCAAATCGCCGACATCACCGGCATCTGCCCCGGCGGTCAGCGCATCCTCGTCGGCTACCCGCCCGAGTGCCTGGACCTCAGCGACGGGGACACGGCCCTGGGGGACCTGCCCATCCAGTCCGGTAGGAGGCCCGCGGGCCGGGGCGCGGCCGGGGCGGGAGGGGGCCGGCGGGGGCGCCCCGGGCCCCGGGGACAGGGCCGACCGAAGGACGGTGCGCCCTGGCAGAGGCTCGGGCGGCTATGTCCACCCGCTCTATGTCCCGACACCTGGATGAGGAGGAGAAGCCCAGAGCATCTGGAGGCTCTTCCTCCCCCCCCCCAACCTGCTTTTCAGAGCTCCTTCATTTTGGTTTCTCGGAGTTCACCAAAGCGCCCAGAACGCAGAACCGGATTCGCTCCCCGGAAAGTTCTTCCCTGTCGTGATGGGTCTGTAGGTCCGAAGGGCGCAGGATGCTTTTTTTTTTTACCCGATTTGTTCTTGCAAGTCCCTTGCACGTGCGTGCGCTTAGCTTGACAGATAACTATTCCTTAAAGTAGTCGTTCTCCAAAGCCCCTTCAGGTTCTAACCTGCAGCAGTGCTTTCCCCCTAGTATTGAAACTTGAATGTCAGTGTTGGTAAGAAAAAGGTTTCCATGATGTGTTAAAGGACCCTTCCAACACTAGCGTGAATGTTAAGTTTCAGAAGGAGAACCCCCTAGTGGCCTGGTCTGTGGTAATACACAACCTGGAAGGAAGATGTGTGTTTTTAAAGGCAGAATTCAAAGATGTATTTTCCCCAAACCTCTTGACTAAACTAGGATGTAACTTGAGGTGGGTTTTTTTCCCCCTCCAATTTTTTTTTGTTTTCATCTTTATGAATATCCTGTAACTAAAAAAGTGTGTGTCCTTGACAGACTTGGCTACTGAACACCCAGTTTTGGGTGTGATTTCTTTGCAGTTCTGGATTTGTTGTTTTTGTGTTTTGTGTTTTTTTTTTTTTAAACAGGCGACATGCTGATCGTTGAAGAAGACCACACCAGACCCAAAACTTCACCTGCATTGTCAAAATATGGTGCTCCAAGTTACGTCAGGGAAACTTTGCCTGTGCTTAGTAGAACCACAGTCCCAGCAGACAACTCTTGCCTCTTTACCAGTGTGTATTATGTCGTTGAAGGAGGAGTCTTGAATCCAGCGTGTGCCCCTGAGATGAGACGCCTTATAGCACAAATTGTAGCAAGTGATCCAGACTTCTATAGTGAGGCAATACTGGGAAAAACCAATCAAGAGTACTGTGACTGGATCAGAAGGGATGATACTTGGGGAGGAGCAATTGAGATATCAATTTTGTCCAAGTTTTATCAATGTGAAATATGCGTAGTAGATACACAGACAGTAAGAATTGATCGGTTTGGGGAAGATGCAGGGTATACCAAAAGGGTTTTGCTAATCTATGATGGCATCCACTATGACCCGCTTCAGCGTATCTTCCCTGATCCAGATACACCTCCTCTGACCATTTTCTCCTCTAATGATGATATCATTCTTGTACAAGCACTGGAATTAGCAGATGAAGCTAGAAGAAAAAGACAATTTACTGACGTAAACCGCTTCACCCTGAGATGTATGGTGTGTGGGAAGGGATTAACTGGCCAAGCAGAAGCAAGGGACCATGCCAAGGAGACCGGCCACACCAACTTTGGAGAAGTATGATCTATGCATGATGAGGGCTGAAGCCTACTACCTCACAGATCCAGAAGGCTCTGGGTTTTCCAATAAGCTATTCATAATCCTAAAGAACAAAAGGACACAATGCTTGAACCATCCTTTTCACTAAGACCAGTAAGACACTGAAATTCCTTGTTAAGATTAAAATTCGTGTGCAAGTTTACAGATTGTGTCTACAGTGGTGATACGTGCCCTCTCTCTGCTAGGGTGACGGAACAGGTGGGCCTTTCCACCTAATGACACTAACTTGAAGATTGGATTTTAGTATTACAAACTAGCACCCAGCAGCTTTTACTTATAGAAGAAATCATCCTATTTGGGGTAATGTGGAAGGTCTCATGGAAGGCCACTGGACATATACCACCACCACAGTTTCTCCATAGTAGATTCTTTTTTAATAACTGAATGAGTTAATAGTTTCTAAATTATGAATTGATCCATCAAATGAAGATACTCAGAACTGTCAAAACTGGTTTTATACTGCAATTTGGTAGACTTTATAAGTGTGTGCTTAACCACTTAGAAGTTCATGAAAAACAATTTTTACAGGGAAGAGTCTATTCCTTAAGAATGTTATCTAAAGCAGGAATCTATTGAGTCCTGCTTAAGATTTCTAGTGTATAAAAGTAGAATGTATAAGGGAAAAGGTGCCTGAGCAGCTTACTGAAGCTTTAAAGACTGTTGGCCTCACATTTTAATGCAATTCATGTATTGATCTTTGTCATATTGGATAAGATTTTAAAATTAAGCAGGGTATGCTTTTTAATTGAAGTTTTTTGCAGTTTGAGTGATCTACTTGCTTTTTTATATATATACATTTATCTGAAGGATATATTTTCCTCTTTTTTTTTAAAGAGCTCTTCCTCAAACAAAGAAAATAGGTCTTCATTGAACATGATAATGTTAGGTTTCTGTTTCTTTTTTTGTAAGACTTCTGCATATCTAAGCAATGTTTCTCTGCTAGCTGCATCTCTTGCCAGTACTCTTGAAAATGCCATATGTCTGCAAGTTAGCATTTGCTTATCTGCCATCTTTGACTTTCACACAGTTTTAAAGTAATTGGTGTCATATTCTTGAATTTATTGTACTTCCAAGATATGAAAGTTTTACAATCTTTGCCTTATATCAGCTTTCTCAGAATACTACTTCTGTCTTTTGCTTGTTGGACTAATAATCTTCAAGGCACACACCCTCTAAAATTTAGCTTCACTACAAGATCTTCCAGATAACATGTTCTACCTCTTTTTCTTAATGCTTTTGAAGATCAGGGATGCTCAATTATAACTCATTATGTATTATGTCATACAACATGAAAAGGCTTGGTGGTGTTATCTTACTCTCATTTTAACTATCTCACTTTTAAAAAGCAGCACTTATATCCCTTTCCGCATAGCTTTTTTGGCAAATGTTTTGAAATTGAGATGTACCCTCCAGCATTTTCCCTTTGTGAAATGAAACTAAAGTGAACAGCCGGGCACCGGTGGCTCACGCCTATAATCCTAGCTACTTAGGAGGCTGAGATCTGAAGATTGCAGTTCAAAGCCAGCCCGGGCAGGAAAGTCTGTGAGACTCTCATCTCCAATAAACCACTAGAAAACCGGAAGTGGCACTGTGGCTCAAGTGGTAGAGCGCTCGCCTTGAGCTGAAGAGCACAGGAACAGCGCCCAAGCCCAGAGTTCAAGCCCCATGACCGATCAAAAAAAAAAAAAAGTGAACAATTTAGGGAAAATGTTCCTTTAAGGAAAATTTCACAAAGTATACTTCCAATCATCAGATGACATTTCTTGAGTATACCTTTTGTGTTCATAGCTGTTTTAGACTTTATAAATTATTTTGGCCAGTATCAGTTGAAAGTGTTTAAACTTTCTTTTACTGAGCCTTGAGAGTAGCACTTGTAGGCTTAGGGTACTTAGTGTTTGGCTATCATAATATGTATGAATGCATATGATATACAAATATCTTTGTTCTGTCATTTGATCTAGGTGGTTCTTGTATTTCGTTTTCCCCAGAAAATAATAACTTTAAAATCACAAATTAAGAGGGTACCACAAGGTAACATCCATCAAATTGAGCTATATGCAACATTGAATAACGCTTGTCTATCTCTTCAGGAGCCAAACTTGACATTTGCTTAGATCTAGATCTTTATTCATTAATTTATAATGTGCCAGACATGTTTTGATGTTTCTCAACACCATTTCTGTCACTTTAAAACTGAGTATGTATTAACTGCAGTGGGTTCATTTAACAAATGGAAAGAAATAAAATGCTGATATTTTGATAATTCATACCATTTTAAAATTGGATTTAGTCAAGAACTTGACATATTTCTCAAGTATTTTTTTCAGAGGATATTTTATCATTTATGTAGGTTATCCATTCACCAGGTATATACTCAGTCAAACTGCTTCTTGGTCAGAGAGTTATTTTAAAACAGCTTTTTTAAATCAGTCATTTGTTGAGATTTAGCACTGGGACCTTAAAGAAGTATTGTGATCACAGAACATTCTTGCTGAAATATTTTCTGCAGTTAATTTATTAAAGATCGAACGCCTGAACTGCTCATTCAAAACTCAGACCTGTAAGCTTCATGGAATTTAAAGGATCCTTTTGTTCTTGTTAGGCTTATTATGCTCTTGAAATGAGTTATTAATATGAATTCTCATCTAGGGAATTTTGAAAAAAATAGGGATTTAGTACTTGCAGCAGGATTAAATTTTTTTTATCTTGTTTGCACTAGGGCCCAATGAAACTTCTTCCTATTTATTCAATTTTTGCCTCTCATATAGTATTTTTTTAAATTAAAATGAGGACAGTTTACATTAGGTGCAAAATAGGAATAAGCTTATCTTATTTCCACCCTGTCCCTCCTCCTTGCCCTGCTCTTTTTTGGGTTATGTATTAGACATTCTGTTAAAAATGCTTTCTTAGGTAGAGGGACCTTGGAAGTTTTTTAAAAAATTAATGTCCATGAGAAATGTGACATAATAACAACCTTAAAACCCCCATGATATTGCATCTTTTTTGCTAGTGGTTCCTCATTGACTTCTTGTCTCCCATCAATGAGATATGGGCATTTTCAAGTGATACCCTTAAAGCATGGCCATTGGTCAACCTGATCCTGTTATTTACTGTTACTGCATTTGAGTAGTCTATGAAGTTTAGGTCCCAGAAAAATCAGGAGCAGGACTTGATAGTACTTACCTAAATATGTCCCTAAGTGCCCATGTCTAACTTGCTAATTTAACTTCTTCCTTCTGTCCTATGTAGGGATTAAAGCATAAGCATTGCAAGTTGCCCTAGCAAAACATAGTTTTTGGGCTTTGAGGAAATTACAGTGTGTAAGATTAAGCAACTTTTTAAAAATCAGGTGGCCTTTTAAACTTAAAATATATTAAGATTTTCTTTTATGTGTTGACACTATTATTTGCAGCACTTTAAAAAAGACGTGGAATAAAAGTTTACATAGCCCTCTAAGGATCTTGTTGAGGACATTAAGATACAATTCTTGAGCTGCTAGACATCAGCTTTTAGCAGTGTTCAGTGTATGTAGTGGCACAACATGTGGGTGTATAATAACAATTTTGGTAACATTAGGAGCATGGTCTATGAAAAAAATGTTATTTCTTATAATGTGATTACTTTTCCATATTTGTTTTACATGCAATATTCAAATTTGTCCTTGTAGCCCTCCAGTTGTTCCTAAGTTCATTGTAAGGAAGTAGAGTTTTGAGTCAGAGGCCTTAAATGTGTCATATACAAGCACCATCATTTTTTAAGTCTGAAGTGAAACACCCAATATGAATAGAATAAGCTAGTTTGCTTTGTTTCACAGTGCTGGGGATTGAACACATGCCTCATGCTTGCCAGGCAAGAACTCTACCACTTGAGTTGCATCTCCAGCTAAATAAGCTAGTTTTTAATGAGCACTATATTTCAGCACATGAATGAAGACTTCCTTGATCATGGGAAAATTCTTTGATTTTTTCCTCTCCAGAAAGTAGCCTAATGTTTACAGTGCTTTGAATATTTTTTTTGGGGGGGGGGCATAAGTATTAGATTGATACTGAGTGATGGATATTGACTGAGGTCTTAAAGAAGGATGATAACCCTCCCGTGATATTTCATATTGAAAGGAGGAAGGGATATGAGATTAAAGTACCTCTAAAGAAGGAAGAGATTGTGAAATGGATGTATTTCAATAATAAATTATGCTTTTCAAATAGACAATATTCCAAGCAATTGCCTTTGCTGCCCCAACCCTTTTCCTCCATTTCTTGGTATAAAATGTAGCAGGGCCTAGGTGGAAAAGGTTGGTATTAAAGTGTCAGACCAGGAATATAAACATTTTTCTATGACCTTTTATACTTATGTTTTTAAAAATTCTAACCTATTTGTAGGAGTTTAGTTAATGTTGTGTGTAAACAGAGGTTAACCTTTGGAAGGTATAGGGTTGTTTATTTTTGTTTTGTTTTATTTTCTTACAAAGATTACCTGAGTCTGCCTTTATAATGGTATAGAATATGTAGTTAATTATAACCTATAAGTTACTTAAAGGACCAGAGGACTTGTCAGTTTTCCAATTCACATGGTGCCATCTAGGACTCATGCTGTTTACAGGAACTATTATAGCAAGGTAATGCTTTTCCTTCAAAACTTTGAACTCAGCTTAAAATGCAGAATAAGTAAATGTAGCTTGTCAAAAAGATAGAGAATAACAATAGACTTCTAGTTCTTGTATTGATGCAGTAGACATAGCAGAGAGAAACCATCAGTAGAGACTGTCAGCTTTAGAACATGACTTGAAAAGGTAATAGGGATGGATGGGCAAAGTAGAACAAAACTGTTTTTCTTGGCATTAGAAAGTTCTTTCGTAAAGAAGACAAGTGTTTCTCATTTTAAAAGTGTTCTTTTGTCTATTTGCCAGCATTTTTTTTCAAAGTTAATGCATTGCTGCTACCTGGAGATATCTAATTTCATTTTGTACAAATCATGTGATTTTTTTTGCCATTGTTACAATGCATTTTATTTATGAAGTGTGTGATTTAAAAATATCTAAATGCTGTATGAAGTGACTTGTTTTAAAGGAATAAATGAAATGAAAACATTGCTGTTTGAGCATATTTTGGGATCAGGGCAGAGGGCAAGTGAAAAACTCCTACACTTAATTACATCTGATGAAATCAGACCACAGTTTTGACTTGTTATCCAGACCTGCCAAATTTCACAAAAGTCATTTAAGTGGACTCAATCAATGTAACAGGAGAAAGTGTTGTACTTTTTTTTCACACTAAAGAGCATTTGAAATATTTCTTTACCAACTAAACTTCCTTCTAAATCTCCTAAAGTTATACTTTTTTGTCCTTTGCTAACATACTGTCTAGGAGGGAATGTTGAATTGTTCCTGCCTATTTATAATAGACTAAGATTCGTGTTCACTTAGATGTTTAAAAATGGCAGTGATCCTATGGGAAAACAACTCCAAGGTCAGGGCTGGGAAGGTGGCTCAGTGGTAGAGCACTTGCCTTGCATGCTTGAGGCCCTGAGTTCGATTCTTCAGCACCACATAAGCAGGAAAAAAAAGCCGGAAGTGGCTCTGTGGCTCAAGTGGTAGAGTGCTAGCCTTGAGCTGAAGAGCTGAGGGACAGTGCCCAGGCCCAGAGTTCAGGCCCCATGACCGGACCCAAAAAAAACAACTCCAAGGTCATTAGAATTGATCTGAGTTTAGGCTTTCTTATTCGGACTACTTTTCTTTTCACTGGGAGATTAATAAATACAATATGTTTTCATAGAAATATTCAAATAGAAATGATGGAACACATTACTGGGAAATTTAGATCTAGCAGCTCTTAATAGGTCTGCATATAAACATTTAGAATTATCACTTTAATAAATGATCTGGATATTCTACCAAAATTCTATAAATGTATGACTGTTTATTTGCTATAGCAATAGCCTTAACAGTAAATCAGGTTGCACAACACATACAATAATGGCAATGGCTTTAAGAGAGACAGACTAGACTATAGCCACTTTAGTGCCATAGTTACAATGTGTCATTGGCAGAAATGTCAACTTCAACCTCCTAGTCCATCTATCAGCACTTAGTTTTTATTATGTCAGATTAGTACCAATCTCCAGAGGAAAGAGGACAAAGGGTTGGAAAGAGATGAGGGATATCAAACAGGAGAGAACTGAGGATTGCATTGAGTCTAGATGGAAATGGGTATCTTGATGTACTTAGCAAGAGGAGAAAGGAATAAGAGTGAAGAGAGGTCTGAGCATGGACATTACAGATTCAATTTGTGTGCATATGCATGTATACATGTGTGCCAGTTGTAGGGCTTGAACTCAGGGCCAGCTGCTGTCTCTGAGCTTTTTTGCTCATGGTTAATGCACAACCACTTGAGCTATAGCTCCACTTCCAGCTTCTTGTGTAGATAATTGGAGATAAAAGTTTTATGGATTTTCTTGCCTGGCCTGGCTTCAAACCACTTTTTAGATCTCAGCCTCCTGAGTAGCTAGGCTTATAGGCACAAGTTACTAGCACCTGGCAACAGGTTTAAATTTGAACCTGTTAAAATCTAGTGTTCTTTATAAAACTCTGATGCTAATAGATACTCTCAGACCTCAACGTGCATTAGGACAGAGGTAAGGGACAGCTGAGTCCTCCAGATTCCCATGGTAAATGATTCAGAGAAACACTGCTTTCAGAACCCAATATGGGAACAAACGTGTACACTGTGGTTAAGCAATGCCAGGACCCCTTCATCCAGATCTACTTAATTATACCTCTTAGTACCCGTTTAGTTAGTTTAGGTTTAAGACTAATACTGCTTTGGTGATTAATGTAGCGATCTCTTAGATATGGCCTAATCTGGTCTAACCTATGATTTACAGCCAAATTAAAATTATCCTCATTAGAATCCCTCTGTTCTCTTTCCTTAGTCCTTAGTTGAATAACATCTTCCTGCCCCCTCCACCTAGTATTTTAGAGGTTCACTTAAGGCCCCAACATACGGTATCTCATGAACATGCAGGACACTAAGGATGTTTCCTACAGATGGTGATAGTATATTTTCAAATGAACTTAATTTTTTTCTTTGGAGAGGAGAAAGAGACGCAATATACATGTGACTAATAATGAATAAGCATCATGAATGTTTTGAATGGAGGCCCACAACGATAGCATTGTAAATAGCCCGAGTAAAAACCGAGCATGATTTGCTGTGGTTTATTTTTTTTAAAGCTGTATGTGTGTGTGTGTGTGTGTGTGTGTGTGTGTGTGTGCAGCCTCTGATTATGAGGGAGGTGACTATACTCCAATAGCATGCAAAGAGATGGACATGGAGTGTGGAGAGGAATGAATCAGGTGAGCTGAGCTGTCATTAGGTTTCATACTCAAGTTATCAAATCAAACAAGAACTCACAAAGAACAGCAACACACTTCAAATGACCTATGTTTGCCAGTGAGCCCTTGCCCTTCAGGTATTTCTGACTTTGAAGTCTTTCCTCCCACCTTCTCACTATTCTAGGAACCTTAGATGCTTCAGGCAAAAATAAAGCAAAACTAGGATCAATTCCAGGGAAAACAAGTCAGAGAATAGCAAACATCCAAGTGAGGAATAATGATTTCTTTCAGCTTGGATGTTTGTGTGTTTTGTGGGAAAACTGAGTCTGGTAAAGTAACTTCAGTAATGTTGACATATTTCTTTAACTAGATATTAGATACAATGGTGATAGTCCAGTGTATCCTAAATATTTCATACATTTTCAAAAAGAAATGTCTAGGGGAAAAGAGAAAAAAAAGTCAAATTCTTGTATCTACGGATCCCTCCAAATTATTTTAGTTTTGTTATAAAGTAAAAAACTACCTAATCACAAACAAGCCATGGTAGACTGGGCCTACTATTCTCTTGGAGATTAGTACTCATTAAGGCAATTCATTTTTAAGCAAATGTCTAATATCATACACCTATGAAGCTGATCTACTTCAGTGACCTCATGGGTGTAACTCTGGTCGCATTGAACTCTTGATTCACAGATGCCCTTCCTGCTTTGTAAGTATTATGACATCACACATGTTTGAGTGACAAGTCAGGAAAGGAGGTCAGAGCCCTGTGGTGCTCAGTCAGCTCTGCTAGCCATATTTTGCTGGGAAGGTACCAGGTGGTGCTAGGCTTCCTCAAATTTCCTTCCTGCTCACTAGTCCTGCCTTACCTTTTCTTCATCTTGATTCTAGGCTCATTGTTCATTCTCTACTCAACCATGATTACAGAAAGAAAAGATGGAAGCTAAGAGTCATCTTCTTATAAAAAAATTAGTAAAATAGGATGACTAATGATTAGAGTTGGACCTGCAGATTATTGGTGTCATTTGGCACCATGCAGCCATGGGGACAAACTACCTAAGTAAGCAACCTCTGATCTTCCTAGCTATATGATTTTTGGCTAGCTGTTTAACCTCCCTGTGAAAGTTGGACAGGAATAGTGCCTAGCTTCAGAACTTGAGACAATGCAATGAAATTATATGTCAAAATGCTTTGCACAATACCTACCAACTAGCAAGAGCCTCCCTGGTAGTTATTAAATGAATTAAACTTAGGCCTCCCTCCTTCATGCCCTTGGAACTTCTAGAGAGTGAAATACCTGAAAAGCAGATTGTGAAGAAAAACTAGCTTCCAGGCAAAAAGCTTACCTGGCTAGAGTGGCCACCATTACCTGAAGGAAGTTTCCTTCCTGAAGCAGTGGACTCTTCTGCCTTTCTTCTCCCCACCGAAAAGGAAGTGATAAACTGGTGGTTTGTTTTTATTTAATGTTCATTATTACTTTCTTGAACAGCCAAAAGACCAGTGACCCAAATGAGCCAGAATTCAGACTCCTTCTAGGCTGTCTAGTGGTCCCTTTTGCACCAGGACAGAGACCCTCTGGGGGGGGAGAGGGGGGGAGGAGGAATGGTCTCATTTCCCTGAGAAATAAATGAGGCCAAGAGGGCTGATGGCAAGCGTTGAGGTGTGCATTTACCACCAACAATGTTCTTGGGTCTTCAGTGAAGTTGCAAGATTGGGAGCTGTTTGGGGGAGGGGGGGGAGGGAGAAAGGTTTGTTATGAAAATGATCCTGAACAGCCAGAAAAGCTAGGAGCAAAACTGACCTCAAAGGATTTTAGCCTGGAGAATTTGAAGGAACACTTAGCTCCAAGTAGAAAAACACCTGGGAAAGCAAGGATCCAAAGACTCATAGAAACGCTCATTTGGAACTGTCGGTGTTCTTTTCTACCAAAATTAAAAACAACAGTATCTTTAACTCACTCCTTCCTCACTAATTCTTTTCTCTCCCTTCTTCCACTTCCAGATCAAATTAACTCCAGGTCCTGGACTTCCAGCCCTCCTCTCCTCCTCTCCACCCACTCCAGGAGAGGAATGAGAGGACCAGAGGTGATTGGCTAGGTGAGAACAGCACCGCCCTGCTTATTTCCCTCCACCCCCTCCCTAGAGAAACAGCTGGAATGGGAAGTGGGGAGGGAAGCGGGGATTGGCTGAGTCAGTGGAAGGGTGTGGCTGAGGCGGCACAGGTGAAGCATTTACCTGTCCTGGTCAATCAGGAGGAGGTCAAAAGCAGAAGGGAAGAGGCCGGGAAGCCTTCGTCTCTGGCTCCATCTCTGCCCTTTGGAATAAAAGAGTATTTCTTTCCTGTCTTCAGCCCCCCAACTCATTGAAGGTAAGTTAATCACTAACCAACTACTACTTATTCCGCAAGAGAAGGATGGACTTGTGGGGGGAGGCTGTGCAGAGCTACAGGATTTGGGGGTAGGCACAGGCTGTCCCTTTATACCCAGCTAAGGAGTTTCTTTGTTCTTCAAGGCTCCAAGTCCAGATGGTGAAGACCAGGACTGAGAGACATCTTTTCTTTTCCATTTACCTACTTAGATTAGTAAGCATCATTATATAGAGCAGGGTGCAGTGTCTCACACCTATGATCCCAGCCCTCCAGAAGCAGAGAAAAGAGGATCATGACTTTGAGACCATCCTTAGGCTACGTGGAGGAAAATCTGTCTCAAAAAGCCAAAAGAGGAAAATAGGTTTGCTTTGGAAATTTCCATCTCTGAGCAATGGGGGTTGAATTATGATTTTGGAAGAGGTTAGAGTTGAGGGAATTAGAATAGGGCCCCACCAAGGTGAGCAGAGAGCCTTGGTTTTCCATTGCTTTAGTTACAGGAAAATTCTCCTGTGGCTTTATCAACTCGGTGTCTCTCTTTATTTAAATAAAAGGGTGCAGTGTGTGTCTGGCCGATCAGGGTGTTTGATAATGGGGCACACTGTGGGAAGGTGTGTGGAGTGTAAACTGTGCTGGGTTGTTTGCGAGTCGATATGAGGTGTGGATATATTGAGAAACCTTCCATTCAGGCTGACAGATCATTTTTTGGGGGGGAGAACCCACAAATAATCTAGCAACCAGGTCAAATTGATTTGGGTTTCATGAGTTGATTTTCTAACTTGGCGTGGTCAAAGAACCAGACATTGGCGAATGGAAAGCTACTTGGCTGTGTCAGGCCCTGCCCATATTTTACTTCTCAGCGGCATGTTGAGTCTGGTCCAAGTTCCAGGCCAAGTGGAGATCAGGTAAAGGCACTGTGGCAGAGACTCTGGGAGGAGAACCAGCCCAGGATAGTGGTTTTGCTCTGGTGTCCCAGGTAGCAGTTTGTGTGGGAGGGGTGTCTGCATCAGGAGGCTGGGTGTAGAAGTCTGAGAATTAAGTCAGCTCCTGTTGCCTAACAGGGGACTTAGCACTCTAGTCTGATTTGGGTTGTGGTGTGTGTGTGTGTGTGTGTGTGTGTGTGTGTGTGTGTGTAAAAGCAGTATCACAGTTTCAACTCAGAGTTTTATGCTTGCTAGGCAAGTACTCTACCACTTGTGCCACACCTCCTAGACATTTGTGCTTTAGGTCATTTCAGATTGGTCTTGGTTTTTGCCTAGGGCCAGCATCAGACCAAAATTGTCCTATCTATGGCCTCTTGACTAGTTGGGATAACAGTCACACACCACTATGCCCAGCTTGTGCTTTGACATAGGGTTTTAATGATAGAGTTTTGGGGTTTTTTCTTTGTTTTTGTCCAGGCTTGCTTTCAACTGCAGTCCTCCAGATCTCTGTCTCCCATGTAGCTAGGACTTCAGGCCTGAACCATGATACCAGAAAGGGAATTAGCATTCTAACATCTAACTTTGCCTCCTTCTACTGCAGAGATGAAAAGTGGGAAGATTTCAGGACCAGGCTCCCAGAGCCTGGCACGTGAAGTCCTAGAAGATTATATTGATGGGGATTCTGGTCCTGAAAATAACAGTTTCAAGGCTCAGCTTTTCCCACACGATCTGCAGGTTCCATAGATGGCACCTTGTCAGGCCTTTCCTTCCCTCCCTCCCTCCCTCCCTCCCTCCCTCCCTTCCTTCCTTCCTTTTCCTTTCTTCCTTCCTTCTTTATTTCCTTTCCTTTGTGCCAGTACTGGGGCTTAAACTCAGGGCCTGTTTCTTTTTTTGCTCAAAGCTGGCACTTTACCACTTGAGCCATGCCTCTACTTTTAGCTTTTTAGTGGTTAATTACAGATAAGAGTCTCCTAGACTTTTCCTCTGTAGGCTGGCTTTGAACTACAATCCTCAGATCTTAGCCTTGTGAGTCGCTAAGGATTACAGGCGTGAGCTACCAGCTTCTCATGGCTCTTGGGTGCAAAGGGTGTTTCTACCCAGCCCTTCTCTCAAAACAATGGTGAAAGAGAAACTCTATTGTTGCTTCAACACACAGAGAAACTTGCCCAAGTGCTGGTGGAGAGAGATGCACACACACTACATACTTTAGTCTCTCTGGCATTCTTAGGATGGTCTCTGGTTTAAGGCACATTTCTGGGTAATCAGCCCAAAGCAGAGGCCCTGGTCTAAGAAGAACAGCAGACATCTCTGACTTCTAGGAAGAGAGGATGAATTCTTTAGCTATGAAGGTGGGCTTACAGGAGGAGGAAAGCAAGTGGGACCTGGTGTGGCTGAGTCTGTTTCAGCCAGCCTAGAATGGAGCTTGAGCCCTCTCCCACCACACCCACTTCACATGCCAGAGCTCCACATGCCATGCTTTTATTCTCTTCCAAGGCTTGGCTGGAATCAGGGGAGTAGTTAATATTTAATGTGTTTTGGGATGGGTGGCCCTCACTAAAGGCTGTGCATATTTCTTAACCCCTTCCCTCTTCCTCTTAAGTCCCCTCAAGAGGTCAAGGGTGAAAAGATTCCAAACTCACCTTGAATGCTTTGCTTGTTCCCCAGGCTCCTTATCAGGCAGAAATACCTCCGGTTTCGATGGCTACCTAGATACAGCCCACAGGTTTCAAGGTTGTAAAGCCGGTACAAGGAAACCATCTAGGTTGGATTGAGCTGGTGAGGAAGGGTGGAAAGGTGGGAGAAGGAAAGATGATGGCTATTCTTACTATTTTACTGCTCAAACTCTACAAAGTGAGGATGCCTTAAGTGCCAGAACCCCAGGGCTTGCTTTGCTTGGAGGCTCAGACTGCTCACTGCAGTGATTGTCTGACGTCTGAACTACGGTAGCATTTGGTTTATTGCTGTTCTCAAGCTAAACTGTTTGGGGCAATGGACTGACCTGGAAGTACAAGGCTATATGAGATAAGACAGGAAAAGAGTGATAGCCCAAAGACTTTTAGTAGTGAGTCAAGGATTGCCAACGAACTCTTCTTGTTGTTTGTTGTTGGTTGTGGGCCTTGAACTCTGGGCCTTGGCTCTGACCTTGAGCTCCTTTGTTCAAGGCTAGTGCTCTACTACTTTGAGCCATATAGCTCTACTTCTGGTTTTCTAGTGGTTAATTGGAGGTAAGAGTCTCATGGACTTAACTGCCAGGACTGCCTTCAAACCATGATCCTCAGATCTGAGCCTCCTGAGTAGCTAGGGTTACGGGCATGAGCCATCAGTGCCCTGCTGGACTCTTCTTTAGGGTTCTACCCTCTGTCATTCCTTGAGCCACAGCTTTCCCCTGGTGGGGTCATTCCTTATTTCTTATCAAGGAGTAATGAAAAGAGCTGTCTCATCTGTGAAGTTAAGGGAATCTCACAGGTTATTCTGAAGATCTGCTTAGCATCTCTGAGGGCATTTTGGAAGATACAGCGTACCATAGAATGAAGATAGCATCAGATGGAGCTGTGGGGAAGGGAGGACGCATGTGAGCATGCACATGCGGCTCTTGACGCTGGAACTCAGGGACTGGGCACTGTCCCTGAGCTTGCTTTTAGTGCTCAAAGCTAGCACTCTTCCTTTTGAGCCACAGATCTACTTCCTGTTTTTTGTTTTGTTTGGGGTTGTTTTTTTTTTTGGTGGTTGATTGGAGGTAAGAGTCTTACAGACTTTGCTCAGCCTGGCTTTGAACCAAGATTCTCAGATCTCAGCCTCCTCCAGAGTAGCTAGGATTACAGGCGTGAGCCACCTGGTGCCTGGCTCACATACAGAGTTTTAGGAAGCAGACGCGCCCCTGCTGTGTGTGTCTCTTCTAGCTGCTTCAGGCTCTGAAATGAGAGTGGTGATGGGCAGTCCTGGGAGGAAGGGAGGCCGGCCAGCCTTGGCAAAGCACGAAGCGTATGGGGAAAAGTAAGGGCTGTCATTTTCTTGAAAATAAGAGGCAGCATCTGCTTACCCCTTCAGAGAGAATATGACAGTAATTACAGCAAGTCACCTTAAATGTTTATTGCCACAATTTTACATTTGAAGAAAACTAGAGCCCCCGACTGGATGCTGGGATCAACCCTGACTTTTTGAAAATAATACCTTTTCCTTACACAGTTGAACAACACACCAGCACCTACTGAGTGATCATAAAGGATAACTGAAAACATTCCCCAAATTCCACTGAGCCATTTATTCTCTGGGAAATAATAATTTTTTCAAAAAGCTTGCAATAATAGGTTAGAAGCTAAGAGGCAGCCTTTTGGCAGTTTCACCCAGGAGACCCAGGAGGAGATGACTACAGTGTTTGAATGCCTTCTCTGTGCCTAAGCTTAGGAGCTAGGATACCCTTTGCACACTAGCCTCAACCCTACATAGCATGTTAGGAATGGGTTAGCACTCGCTGAGCGTGAACAGTCACTAATGACGCACATGGCTTGGATGGCTGAACTTCATCCACATTTCTCATGGACCTATTGCTTTGAGTTCTAGATACTGAGGAACTGATCTCATAAGAAAACCCTAAGAGCTCTGTTCCTTCGGGCCTCTTTGGTGTCTCTGCTCCTCTGGTCCCCTCCTTATCTCTTGAGAGACTTCAGTTTTATGAATCACATGTGGCTAGCTCGTTAGGGAATCTTCTCTTTCATTTCCCCTGTATTCTGTCACTTTCTTCTTCCCCCATTTGAGGGGCTCCTCCCTATCAAATGAGCCAGAAAAGGAGCCTCATGAAGGCTTATTGCCAGCACTATAGGATTAGAAGGCTGACTCACCCTACCCTGTGCAAACCTCAGTGTTGGCACTGGATAGAACTATTGACACAAAGCCAAAGGGATTTCTAGCCTTGCCTTCAAAGCTTCAAGTCCTCAGATCTCAAATAGAATGCCCCACCCCCAGGACATTTAACCTAACATAGGAGAGTAGAGGAGATAGTTAAACCATAACATGATGTTATGGGCAAAATATGGATTCAGAATCAAATAAACTTTATTGTAATTCTAGCTCTTGCCCTACTTTCTGTTTGGCCTTGGAACTGGCCCTTGATCAAAATTGCTTTAGGATTTCATGTGACATAGAAGTGTCACCCTTGGTCCACCCAATTGTCACAGACCTACAAAACTGTTCGGGACTTTCAGGGATACCATGGACTTCCTTTGTCATTACGATTGTCATGGTAGGCTTGAAAATCTTCCTTAAGGGAGGACTCTACATAGGACATTTTTCTTACTCATCTGACATAGGCTAGGGAGCTTTGTTGGGATGTAGGAGGGAAATTAGGTTTGTGACAATGTTTGCAGGTGCTATGATCCAAAGCCCTAGGTATGATGTTGTTGAAGAGATTGACTGTTACAGCGACTGACAATTACTAAGCCATGTGCTGCACACAATGATATATGTATTGTTTTCTTTTTTTTCCTTTGTGGTAGTGGAGTTTGAACTCAAAGATTTACATTTACAAGGCAGGCACTCTGCCACTTGGGCCACACCTCCAGCCCTTTTTGGTTATTTTTGACATAAGATATCATTTTTTTTGCCCAGACTGTGACATCTACTTATAACTCCCACATATTTGAGATGACAGATACATGCCATCACGTATCTATCTTGTTCTATTGAGATATGGGGTCTTAAAAATGATTTTTGTCTGACCTGGCTTGGAGCTGTGATCCTACAGATCTCAGCCTCCCAAGTAATGTGAGAGGACATGTCCACATCACATCCAACCATTGTTTGACGTAGTGTCTCACTACCTTGGAAAAGGCTGGTTTCAAATCCACTTTTCCCCAATCTCTGCCTCCTCAGTAGTCAGGATCACAGGCATGAGCTGCCAGTGCCCAGACTATATAAAATGATTTACATGAAATATTTCATTATATTATATTCTCATGATGTCTAGTGAAGTAGGTCCTGATCTTTCTCTCAAGCATATGGTTCCCCATTTTACCAATGTCTTGTTTCATGGCTGGTGGTATGGCTCAGATGGTAGATTTCCAGCCTTTGAGTGAAAGCACTAAACACTGAGTTCAAGTCCCAGCCCTGGAAGAAGAAAAAAGACAACCCTAAACTCTTATTTCCCTTCCTTTCAATTTAATTCCATCCTAGATGGATCTTGTATTTTTCTTACCCACTATAACAACCATAGTTATTCATCTTAAGTATTTACTGCCAAAAGAACTATGCTCTTCTCTCAATTAATCCTTCCATTCACCCTATTTGTTGAGAGAAAAAAAAACAGTTTCTGAGAGTAATTTACCTCAAGATAAATAGCTGTAAATGGCTCAACTGGTATTTGAACCCAGACCCAACTGCAACCAGAACCCAAGCTATGTATTGTTTTGAGTAAGGAAAATGTTAGGTTCACCAGGTTAAGCTCCAGGTTCAGAAGGGGGAGGGGGAAACAAACAAAGAGAAGGGATGGAAGTTCTTTTCTGACCAGCCTGCCTCTCCAGCACCTGAGTGCATCTTCTTGCATGTCATGGAGCCTATGTGTCCTTCCATGAAGGCTGGAAGGGGTTTGGCTCATGGCCGTCCATGGCCCACCTTCCAGCTCTCTGCTTGCTTGGTGTCTTTGTCTCCATGCTGCTCCAGGGCCTTGGCTCACACGTGGCTTTGATTCTTCTTTTTTCAGGCCCAGCTTGGGACATTCTTCACTTCCCTTCGCTTCCCCTCTGGGAGCCCCTTTCAGCACCCCTGCACCTTGCTTCGGGCGATGCCTGAGAGGGAGCTGTGGCCAGCGGGGCCCGGCTCAGAACCCGTGACCCGCGTCGGCAGCTGTGACAGCATGATGAGCGCCACCTCCAGCCGCTCTGGATCTGTACGTACTCCCTCCTGCGACCTGGCTGGCGTTCTGCACACCTGCCCTGCCCTGCCCTGCCCTGCCTTGCTCTGCTCTGCCACCCATCATCACTGTACTTCTCTTTCACCCCCTCTTCAGCAAGTGAATCACAACATCAGTGGACATGTTCTGCCTCTGAGTCACCCCTGGTTCTATGGAGAATGGGGTAAGATGGCCTCAGAGAGTGATAAACACTAGTGAGACTTTGCCCCAAATGTCATTCGGTGGAGAAGGTTGAGCTGGGGAAAGGAGCAGGCTATGATCTGACATCAAGGTGGAAACTAAACAGCAGGGCCTTGAAGTACGTGGACTCTTGAAGTGATGTCATTTACAGCATTACTTCTGTCTTTTACAAAGATCAAAGAGAATATAGAAATTCGATGCTTAAGTTCTGGATGCAAGCAGATCTGGGTTTTCTGCTTATAAGCAGATGACCTTCTTTCTCCTTGGTTTTAAAATGGGGATAATGTATTTTTATTAGTATCTTTAAGTAGTTGTACAAAGGGATCTCAATTGAACATGTCTGGGTGATTGTGGTCACCTTTATATCATTCCCCCATCTATCTCAACCCCACCCATCCAAAATGGGCGTGGCATTAACACATAGGGTTTTTGGAGGGAGTTGATGGGAGACAGACAAAGAACATAGCACTTGTCTCTATATACACAAACAAACAAGCAAACAAACAAAAACAGCCCATCTAGGAGCAGATCCAGAAAGTCACTGTGAGTTTGGACTAACATGTAATAAACTGTAATTTCCATAGGCTTGTGGTAGAGCTGGTATGAAAGAATAAATCTGTCCTATATTCCAATGGTGAAACTAGAGAAATGAAACTGCTTTATAGTCTCTAGAAGTATTTAAAAACTTAGGATTAGGGTCTCTATTGAATGTCAAGGATGCTTAATATAACCGAGGGCCTCAGGCATGCAAGGCAAGCGCTCTACCACTGAGCCACCTTCCCAGCAAGGATGCTTAATATAGTTAGTGGACTTTGTTGGTTTTTGTTGTTGTTGTTTAGTTCTTGTGCTGGTATGGGGGCTTAAACTCAGGGCTTTGTGCTCTTGCACTCAAGGCTGGCACTTTACCACTTGTGCTGCATTCCCACTTTATAGTTAATGGATACTGATACATGAAAATGGAGTAGGAGAAGCAACACACATACACACACACACACACACACACACACACAGAGAGAACAGATAATCTACCCAAAATTTCTTTTTTTTGACCCAACAAGACAGAGACACAGAAACATCTTCTTGTTTCTGCTAGACAGAAGCCAGCATATATAGTGACATTCTACTGGACACAGAATGTGACAGGGATGAAGGGTTTCAAAGTGAATCATCCACAGAGGAAAAGTTGAGAGTTGATTTATTACATTTTAGGAGGAAGAAGGCAGTAAGAAGGTCTTTGTTCAGGAAAAGCCAAGATCTGTATTGGAGGCTTTCCTTGACATGTGAGGATGCAGTCAGTCATGTGATTTAAGGGGTGGGTTAAAAATCATAAAACCTTCCCTGAGATGTGTTGTACTCATAATCTAACTTGTACAACTACTTAACAAATCAACACCTTCCATGGCCATGGTTGCACAGCTGGAGAATATCTTCTCTGAAGTGTCCCATAACAGGAAAAGAGGTGGAGGTGCTAATAAAGAAGGTTCAGATCAAGTTTCCTATCATCCTGTTTTTCCTTTTGGGTTTTCCTTTAATTTCCTTCTTTGAAAAGCAACTTTTCCATCCATCTTCCTCTCCTGGCAGGAGATGGGCAGAAACATTACAGAGGGCCACAGTATCTTCCAAATATCCCTTTCTGCTTTTTCATAATGAAGCGGATCTTCTTTAATGCCTATGAATGTTAACCCTAAATTCCTTTCTCCTCCCACCAAGTCATCTGGGTTCTTCACCCCCTTAAGTCAATATTTGTTTAATCTGTACACTCACCTGAGTGTCAGCTAGAGCCAACCACCATCAAGAAAGTAAATACACAAGGGGAAAAAAATCCTGGGTGGAATGTACTCCAAAGTCAAATATAAAGTGTTCAGTGAGATTATCTGTGACTGGTCATGCCACTGTGAACAGTGGCCTGGCAGCCGGTCACTGGCCACATTTCCTGTTTGCCCTCATATTGTCCTTGACATACCAGAGCAAGTATGCAGAAGTACTTTGAAAAATTAAGTGTAATGTTCAAGTTTCAGGTCAAACCACCTTCTTGGCTATGTAGTTTGGTGGTCAATCAGAGACATACACCTTAAAATACTTGGCAGAGGTCACCCAGAATTAGAATTAGATCTTGGAACTGCTTCTCATCTGTATCCCTTGTGAGTTCTATCCAAGGCTGACCAAGAGTAAGGCCCCTTGCCTTCTGCAGTGCCTAGCCTCCAGGGCTGGATACTGGCAAGGCCATCAGCCTGATGATCTCCCCTCTCTCTGATGCCCACAGTTTCCTGAAGCAGCTCTACCAGGTTTGCAGAAGAGCACCAAGGAAAGGTTACCAGCTCTTCAGCATTCTTTCCCCATAGCAAGGTGGTTCTCAGGCCCCGCCAGTTTCTACAAGAGCTCCCTCTCACAACTCCCTCTCCTGTAGACTGACAGCTACGACTTCCTGTCTGCTGAAGAGAAGGAGTGTCTGCTCTTCCTGGAAGAAACCATTGGCTCCTTGGATGCTGAGGCAGACAGCGGACTGTCCACTGACGAGTCTGAGCCAGCCGGCACTCCTCGAGCTTTCAGACCACTCCCTGTCACTCAGCAGACTCCCCAGGGTAAGATGGATTATGGGAGCAAACCCCAGAAAGCCAGTGCCTCTTCCCGGCCACTTCCCCCTTCCTCTGCCTATGGTGACAGATGACAGAAGAAACTCTGCACTCTTCCTGACTGGAGGAAAGCCTATTTGTGGCTTTCAGGGAAGAAGGGAGCACCACAAGCTAGCTTCAGCGGCTTGGGATGGGGAGGGACTCAGGAAGGGGTGGGTGATTGGCCTTAGAGAGACTGAGTCAGCCTCAGGAGCTAATCTGGGTGAACCAGAGGACAAGGCTGCAAGAGATAAGGAGGAGGAAGGGCTCCTGAGCTGCAGGTGGGGGTGCCTCCAGGCCCTTGTTAGAGAGAGGGCAGTGAGCTCAAGATTAGTTGAAGGGGACAGAGTGGTACACAAGTATGGGTGTGTGGAGAACTTTACTCCTGCGGACAATCCCACTGGTATCAGGGCTACCATTGTTCATTCAATCCCTCATTCAACCACTGAACAAATATTTATTAGCAATGCCTTAGACCTTCCCTGGGGTAGATTGTAAATGAGGACATGGGGCTTGCACTGGTTCTGGAAGCCAACCACTGAGTCCAGTGAGCCTTAGGCACCTGCCACGCTTGCTGCAAAGGCCAAACACCACATTTGTCACTTCCTGGAGCAGGTGTCATTGCACCTTGCTATTCCAGAGTGGTCCAGCTGCTCACAGAAAGTGAGAGCAGAAGGCAGATGTCTGGCCAAGAGCAAGTGATTCCACTGGACATAGTTATCTGGGAGCCCCCAGGTTGCTAGAAGGGACCATCCCAAGTTGCTCCCCAACTTTAGAGCATCTGTAGAAAGTTGGAGAGCCTGAGGCAAGGATGTGCAACAATCAAAGAACCAACCTTCCCCTGAACATTCTGAATCCCTCAGCCCCGAATGACTGATATTCTATTAATGTAGACAGTATCCAGACAAGAGTACTTTCCTTTAAAGGCAAAGAAAGCCCCCTACCCCCCTAAAAAGTCCTGCTCACTGCTCATTGCGGGAAGCGAGTTCAGGAAGTGCTCGCATTTCCCTCTACAACAGGGCTCTCTCACTTTTGCCCACTCTCTCTGATCCTCCCAGGAAAGCCGGAGGCATCGCTCACTCAGCAAGGACCGGAGCCAAGGAGAGTGACCTTGTCCCCTTCATCCCATCCTCCTGAGCCCCCAAGCCTGGGCCTCCGGTCAGGCTCCTACAGCCTCCCCAGAAACATCCACATTGGCAGAAACCAGAGCCTCAAGAAAAGCCCGGCCCAGACTAACGGCCACTTCCCCAGAGCAGAACCCAGGAAAGAGCAGCTCAGCCAAGTACAGGCCAGCCCCCGGGGGGCTGCTCTAGACCTGGAAGTGCTGCTCATCCCCCCGCCAGAGGCTTTCCAGGACACGCAGCCAGCGCAGCGCAGGACACACAGTCTGCCAAAGGGGCCAGGAGGGCAGAGCCACCCACTGCCCTCATCCCTCAGCTCCCAGAAGAGAGAGGAGAGTTCAGAAGCCATGTCCCAGCCAGCCAGCGGGAAAGGCTCACTGGGGGGCCCAGGACAACCATCAGGGCCTCCTCCTGCCCCGGCCTCTCAGAATGCGGCTTCCGGCCCATCAGGAGCTGACCCGCAGGCTGGACCAGCTTCCCTTACCGCTCCAAAGCCCCGGAAGCTGCCACCTAACATTGTTCTGAAGAGCAGCCGGAGCAGTTTCCACAGCCAGCCCCAGCACTTGCTGGCCCGCCACACGGAGGCCCGAGACTCCAACCCGGCCTCCTCTTCTCTGCAAGAGCAGAGGAAAGCACGCAGGGAGGCCCTGGAGAAGCTGGGGCTGCCCCAGGACCAAGAAGAATGGGGCTCCCGTGGGAGCAAGATGACCACGACCCTGGGACTCAAGGAGGCTCCGAGGCCTGGCCAAGCCTCAGCCCCAGCCCAGCCAGCAGCTCCAGCTCTGGTCCCTCCAGCGCCTGCGCCTGGAGCAAAGGCTCCAGCTTCAGCATGGGGGCCTTGGCCAGGGAAGGCTCCTCCAGCCCCGGGGTCCTTTCCAAGCAAGGCTCCTACTCCAGAACCCACCCAGGGGAAAGTGGCAGCTGCTAAATCCATGCCGATTCCTATCCCGGCAACTGCAAAGACCAAGAGCCCCCTGCCTCAATCAAAGCCAGGCTCGGGCCTAATGCTCCAGGAGAGCAGCATCCCCGGCCTGAGGCAGATGAGCTTCAAGTCTAACACTCTGGAGCGCTCAGGCGTGGGGCTGAGCAGCTACCTCACAGCTGAGAAAGACCCTGGCCCCCAAACCAGCAAGTCACTGGGGAAGGACTCCTTCTTGGACAAGACTTCCCCCAATGTCTTGCGAAATTCCCGGCCCCGGCCTGCCTCCTTGGGCACTGGGAAAGACTTTGCCAGTATCCAGGTGGGAAAGATGGCTGACCTGGAACAAGGCCAGAATCCCAAACGCCTGCCCTACCAAGGCCAGAGCCGTGACAAGCTCCCGAGACCCCCCTGTGTCAGCGTCAAGATCTCCCCGAAGGGCGTCCCTGATGGACACAGGAGGGAGGCGCTGAAGAAGCTGGGCTTGCTGAAGGAGTAGACCTCGCCCACCCGGGCCACCAGCTCTGTCCCAACAAAAGACGTGGCTCTGCCTAGCAGCTTTGCAACCTTGCAGCTCTGCAACCTTGCAGCTCAGGACTGAGGCAGGGGCCTGACCTCTCTCAGATACACTCCACCCTCCAAGGGGAAGAGAGGGAGAGACTTGACACCAATATATATTCAGAGTGGTTGTACCACTGAGTGCCTGCACTGATCACCCTGAAGATGAGTTGCACAAGTGTGTGTGTGTAATACAGGATATATATATATATATACACATATATATGTATATACATATATATATATACACACACACATATGTATATATGTCACTGACTATTTATAAAACACAAAAGTCATTGCTCAGAGTTCTAGTCTTGCTGGAGATTTTCTTATACAGGGTAGAGTTTATCCTGCTTCAGAATAGAGAGGATGGGAAAGGAGAGAGCTCGAGAAGAAAAGTCAGATGAGATGATGGATGTGTTAGTAATGTGCATTGTACTGTGCACTAAAGAAAAAGGTCATGTGAAATACAGAACCTTGCGATAGGAGACGGGCTCATGCTGACTGGATCACTCTCTCAGTTGGACTTCCTGGACGAGGCCTGGGCCCCAGGAGCTGGTTGGTTATCTCTTCCCCCACTGCCTCCTCGGTATCACCAGTCCCAGCACAGACCTGTCCCTGGGACTGAAGCTCTTCATTCGTTGATAGCAGAGTAGCTCTCCTTGATCTGAGAAGACAGGATAAATGGGTGCACGGTCACTCCTCTGCCTCTACCCCTAGAGTCCTTGTTCATGGGGTGACAAAAGCAAAATAAACTGTGCCGCGGTCCATGACTGCTGTGCTCTGTGACTCTGCTGTTCCTGTTCTTCCTGCGCTCTGCCTCCCTGTCTCATGCTTGAGGGTGGGATAATAATGAGATAGAAGCACAGTTCACAAACTTTACTTCTGATGAACTAGCAAAAAGCCAGGGTAGAGCTGTGGCTCAAGTGGTAGAGCTCCAGCCTTGATTGCTTGGTACAAGACCATTTTTCAGGAATGTTTCCCTGCTGTCATAAGTTCCAAAGATGGAAAATCAACCTGACACAGGCTGTCATGGTGGAGAGGAATCCTGAACAAAGCTCCCAACTTGGAGAGAGAATCATTGATGAAAGGAAGTGACCCATCAAGGTCATTTTACCAGTAGAAGCAGAGCAGAGCTGAGACCCTTGAGCTTCTGATTGCTACTCCAGTAGGTCTTGGCTGCCTCCCTCAACCATGTTCTCATACATCCTCACAGCATCACTAAGATGCCGTGTCACAGACACAGCCCTTCAGAATACTAATGTGACTCACCAGAACACCAGTGGCTCACCTATAATCCCAGCTACTTAGGAGACTGAGATCTGAGGATCAAGGTTCAAAGCCAACCTGGGCAGGAAAGTCCATGAGACTCTTATCTCCAATTAACCAGCAAAAAGCCAGAATAGAAACATGGCTAAAGTGGTAGAGCACTAGCCTTGAGTGAAAAAGCTAAAGGACAATGTCCGGGCCCTGACTTTAAGCCCCAGTACTGGCACAAAACAAAACAAAAATAACACTTAGTGCTAAAGTGTCTTCCCAGGCATTGAGAATTAAATGCTCAGAATATTACTTAGTGTTGAGTTTTTTAATTTCTAGAAATTATTAGTAATATATATTTTTTTACCCTTTGGCATTGCTGGGGGATTGAACTCTGGGCCTTGTGAACCCTAAGTAATTGCTTTGCCATTTGAGCTATACCATATTTTATTTTTAAGATACTGTTTTTTTTAACTTGATCCTCCATCTTCTTCCTCTTAAGTGGCTGGAACCACAGATGTGCACTTCCACACTTGGCAACAACTCATGCTAACCAGAACAACTCTCCCCATACATTTTCCGACTGCATCTTCAGAAGATGCCAGTGGAGTAGAATGGGTAGGTGGTGTGGGTTTGTGACTCAGGCTTGGTGATTAGACATGGCCAGACATGACCCTGCCCCGCCTTGGCAAGTACATCCTATGGCTGTGACTACATTTCTATCCAGGATGTCCAGATGTATGGGGCAGATGCTGCTGGAAAGGTGCCTTTTAGTTTAAGTGAGCATTTCTGGGCTGAGTCCTTTTAGAATTATCACTGTCAAAGCTTAGAATTCCTGAAAATGATGAAAAGGCTGGGGTTCAGGACAACACATGGCTCCACCCAGTCATGGTATGCGGTGTGTGGGTGTGACGGTTTCTATGTACACTCTCACACAGACTCACACCCAAGAGCCTGGTGCCTCATTGCTAGCCCTGGGCAAGACCCGCTCTGTCACGTCCAGTGGGACTCCCATACTGGCCAAGCTATATTTTATGACAGGACTTCAAAAGAGTAAAGACAGCCTCTGGAGGACTGATTCAACACACGAGAATAGGTGAGATGCTCTTTGGGTCTATTTCCAGATACACTCTGAGCCCTGATTCTTTCATTGCTTTAATCAATAGGAACCCATGAGACTAGCTCTTAACTAATGGAGAGAATGTGGGGTCCTGGCATGGATACAGGACTGACCAACAGGAATGAATGAGGAGTACCACCTGTTAGATCCCCACCCCAGGAAAAGAAATCCCCCTTCCAGACAAACCTAGCTACTACACAGGACCTGCACCTGTCCCTCTGCTTCCTGACCTCAGGGACAAGCTCATTCCTCCATTCTGCTTTGGGAATGGTCTTGGTGATGGAAGAGTAGTGAGACCACATGCAGTGCCCTTCGTTTGGAGGAGAAAGGCAAGGGAAACTGAGGTACCTGGGTCTGTCCTCCTGTACACAGATAAAACTACTCGTCCTTCTGACAGAACTGCTTGAGTGGAAGGTGAGAGGGTCAGGATGTTTTTATCTCTTTTCAAAGGATTTTGGAGGGAAATCTGTACAGTCATAGGTTTAACTTTAAAAGCCAAAGTGAGCCAGGCTAAGGAAGCTCATGCTTGTAACCCCAGCTACTCAGGAGACTGATATTCAAGGATCATAACTTGAAGCTAGCCCAAGGAGGAAACTGGAAAAAGCTGGAAGTAGCGGTGTGGCTCACGGGTAGAGCAGCAACCATGAGTGGAACCAAGCAAAGCCAGAATGTGAAGTCCTGAGTTCAAATCCCAGTACAAAAAAATTAAACAAAGTGAATAAAATATTCAAAGAAAAGATGAAATGATAGTTCTTTTTGCATGTGATCTTGGATCTTTGCTATAAGCTGCGCACAAACCATCTGCCAAACAGAGACTGGCCTCTCCCCACCCCAGCACTGTGGAGTCTGTGCTCTCCGATGTACAGATGGCTTCTCTTCACGTGCTACCCTAGGAATCCTTCATTCTGACTCAAAGGGCAATAACAGCACAGACCTACGTGCCATTTTAGACTGAAGTCAGAACAGGCTCATTCACCTGCACGTGCCTTCCTCTACAGAAGACGCTGTGCTGTAACTTGGGGTGGGCATGTGTGCAAACATTTGGTGTTTGTTTCATGTAAGGAAAGGCAGGGGAAAAGAGGAATTCAGGCCCTCACTGATGTCCTGGATCTAGCTGGAGTTGAAGAATGAAGAGGCTACAGGATCTGTGAGTGTGATTGAAGAACCACTCCTCTGGATTCCTTGATTGATATCTGTGTGGGCAGAGGAGGAACAGCCAATTAGAATGTCATAGTTGAGTGGAAGTAAGAAATCCTGTCTCAAACGACTTCAAAAGAGGACTGTGGATCCAGTGCTTCTGTGTTGTTTTGCTCGTCTAGGTGACCATGGAGCATAGACATCTAGGCTTAAATCCAGTCTCCATCATGGACAAATAAGGTACCCTGGGAATGTTACTTTAACTCTCTGAACCTCAGAGTTCTCATCTGTAGAATGAGGAAAGCAACCCTTCAAGATCTGGATGAGTGAGTATATAAAATCCAGCGTTTCATGCAGTGTAGCCACTCAATTAATTTACTATTTCCCATCTCACAGGGAGTGAATTTAGAAAGGGTTGAGAGCCAAGAGCTCACCCCTACTCCATGTTGAGACAAAATAGAAGAGAGCTTGCTGCCTGTGAGAGTCCAAGTAACATCTAGTGTTTGGCACACCCACCAGGTGACTCAACTTCACCCACGCCATGTTTCCTGCAATTGGAAAAGAAAGGGATCAGCACGAAGCTGTTGTTTGAAGTTGGGTCTCCTGCTTCCATTTCCTGAATCCTCAAACCTCTCTTCTTGACCTGAGCTCGGATTCATGCTTTCCCTGGCCATAGTTTACTTTGGGAGGGTGGAGAGTGGGAGGGGGAATGGGGGGGAGGGGGTGGGGACTGAGCTTGAACTCAGGCCTGGGCACTGTCCCATAGCTTTCTTTGTGCTAGTTCTCTACCAATTGAGCCACAGCTCCACTTCTGGCTTTTGGACTGGCTTCAAACCATAACCCTCAGATCTCAGAGCCACTTGAGTAGGTAGAATTATAGGTGTGAGTAACTGGTACCCAGCTTGAGTTTACTTTATGTTTCCTTTAACTTCTTTATGCTGTGTGGTTCATGGAACCCCAGGCTATTCTATAGTTGCTTATTTTTAAGATGGGAGGGAGAAATTTCTGTAACAGAGGCATCTATGGCTAAAGTCAGAAAGAGATAGAATCTAGAAAATGTTTCAAGGTTCCTGGAACATTTTTTTAAATGGCTGAGTATCCCTCTGGAATGAATCAGACATTAGTTATGAGGAAGCAAGAAATATATGGGTTGATTTCTGTAGACAACAGGAGCAATACCAGAGTCATCCGTTGAACTCAGCATGCAAGTCAGGTAAAACAGGCAACATTCTAATTCTAGGCTGTAATTCTCTCTTCTACCTTACCTAACTGAGGCACTGTTCTTACTGCTTGCCATGCGTCCAGAATTCAAACTAATACAAAATATTGAGCAGGTGCAGATGGGCTCACACCTGCAATCCCACCTATCCAGGAGGCTGAGATCTGAGGATTGCTATTCAAAACCAGCCCTGGCAGGAAAGTCCATGAGATGCTTACCTCCAATTAGCCAGCACAAAGCTGAAAGTGGACTTATGACTCAGGTAGTAGAGTACCAGCCTCGAGTAAAAAAGCTGAAGGACAGTGCCCAGGCCCTGAGTGTCAAGTCCCAGTACTGGTATACAAAAAAAAAAAAAAAAAGAAGAAGAAAAGAAAAGAAACACAATGTTATCCTGGCAAAGCCCTGGAGAGGTGAGCTTTCGTGGGTCACTTCATCTTACTCAGGAAATGGAGACAGACTAAACTGTCTTCTAGATAGATCTAGGGCAGTCCTGAAATATATGTCCCAAGCCAAGATAGAACTTGTGACTATGCCTCCCCCACCCCTCCTGTGAATTCTATAGTCAGTCTACCAATCACAGTGCAGTTCTAATAAGTGAAGGTCAAATGAGTGATAGCTAGAACCAATAATCTTATTAATGGAAATTCATTGAATATAATGAGATATTCACTGAATCTCAATCTACCAAAATAGTCATTACAAAGAGGAAAATAATCCTTTTTGCAATGAAATAAATAAAACCTGATGGGCGCAAGTTTAAGCAAGTGGAACGTTACCAAAGTTAACATCACCCATGATGACATATCGATATCATGTACCACCTCTTACGATACATTGAGAAGGATACAATACTGCTTTGTGGTGTTCTTGTAAAAAAAATAACTGTAAGGGGCTGGGAATGTAGCTTCGATGTAGAGTGCTTGCCTAGCATGCATGAGGCCCTGGGTTCAATTCCTCAGTACCACATAAACAGAAAAATCCAGAAGTGGCACTGTGGCTCAAGTGGTAGTATGCTAGACTTGA